ATATATATGATGCATTGAATCTTGTCAACATTGTCAACATAAATTTTACCGGTTCAAGAATTCGCCTTTGAAGGCATCAGTCTTTTTTGGATCCATTTCTGTGAAGTAAACTTCAGACAGAGTACAGTCACGGTTGTTGTTGAAGAATGTTGTCACAGCTGCTACAATAGTGGCAACACAGGGCTTGATTGGGTAGCCGAAGATACCTAGAAAACATTTAATTCAAAACAACATTCCAGCCATCAGTCAAACAGGCATATGGGGCATATGGAAAACTCTTGATATAATTTTTTAAATCTAATCAGATAGTTTAAACCTTCACTGAGGCAGCAAGTGTAAACAAAAAGAGAAGAAAGTTTGAAAAATTTTAACACAAGGGTTTGTAGAATCTAAGAAAACATTATACATTGTAACAAAAATATTTAGAAACCTGCTGTTTTTAAACTTAATCCAAACACAAGATAATCACGGTGATTCACATTGGATTCTGAATATTTTGAAATTTTAAGAGAAATCAATTTGCTACTTCTCAGATTGTCAGAATTTTCTTTTCAATTCCTTAATGTATAGTAGTCCCACTGGCAGGTGAAAAGTTAGAAAGCAAAGTATTTGATGTGTGGCACAAAAAGACCTATTCCTCACCAGAACTGATGGCAGGTATGGCGATGCTGTGGTGGTCTCTGGCCTCCAGTAGGGCATTTTCCACTGCCTGCATCAAAACTTTTTCTCTGGAGTCCTCCTCTCCTGTAGGATTGACAGAAGTGCAAGTTCAATTGTAAAAGACAAATTAAAGGAGATATATGTATATACTGAAAGCAAATACATGTTTCAGGAAGCTTAATGACACAAAATTACCACTAAATGTAGCTTAAAAGCTCATAAAACAGTGACCCTTTTCAGGAGTGTGCATGCTGGGAGAGCAACAACAGCAGAGATTCAAACTCCAGATACAGAGAAAGATATCATAAAATACATGCCAGTTATATGTTGTAGCTCAAGACCTCTTCAACAATTTCCAATAGCATGCATGTTGGCTGTGAAACAACAGCCGGGATTCGAACTCATGACTTCTTTGTCCAGGCACAAAGTCACCAAACACAGGACTAGACGCACTACATGATGCAGTACCTGCAATCCACTGTGGACCCACGGCATGCACCACCATCTTGCAGGGAAGCTTGTACCCTTTTGTTGACATCACCTGTCCCTCAGTCAGTTTTCCATTCTCCTTGACATACTTGTCACAGTCTCTCTTGATCTCGGGCCCACCTGAAGTGAAACATTGGTTTTAAGAAGTAGAGTTCTGAAGCTCATCTGACACAACCTGCTAATGTTTTGGAGAACTGTACGTCTATCACCTTCCTAAGGTTTGAACTACTCACACCAGAAAGAATCCCAACTATTTTAGATAAATGTAGTAGATTCTTGCTGGAGATGTGGCTTTCCACAGAAATGCCAGCTTTATATCCAACAGGACATATCTAATGAATGCTAGGTACTTATTTTCATCTACGTAAAGTGAGGAAATACAATGTAGGTGCAAAAGTCCATTTCCCAAAAAGTGCATTTGCCAAAGGTACTACAATGGCCTGCCTATAGGGATTAAATCCACAACCTTAAGATTCTCATTTCTTCAGAGCCAACAACCCTAAACAACAAATTAAACCATCTTACCACATTACACGAGCTTCACTGTGTTAATTGTTATGCCACTTACTTACTATTACTTACTTACTATATGTTATGCCACTTAATTACTTACTATACCAATTACATACAAGACATATTGTTACCTGCTCCTTAACAATCGCAGCTGCCAGCCCTCCCCCATGCACCATGGCACCGTTAGCAGTGTTGACCATCACATCTACCCTGCGACTGGTCAGGTCCCCCTGTACCACCACCAACTTCTGTCCTCCTCTCATCGTGTGGCTGCAGACCTGGAATATAAAATAAGCTGTTGGACTGCTCTTGTTTGAAAGAATAGCAACAGTTTACTGAATTGTACACTTTCTTAGATATGAGTAGGAGTACATGTATTATGTCCTGCATCCCTAAACTTGGAACTTGGAACATAGGGATGTCAAAACAAAGGGATATCAGAATATAGGAACATCTATTAGGGACATACATGTATACTGAACAAAGGAACATCGGAACACAGGGTATGGGCATACTGAACATCAGAACATAGGGACATACTGAACATACAATGTAGGGACATAGGGACATAGGAACAAAGCGACAAAGGAACATACTGAAAATAGGAACATACTATAGGGACATAGGAACAAGGGGACGTCAGAACACGGGGACGTCGGAACATAAGAACGTCGGAACATACGGCTGTCTCCCTATAGTTTACTGGCATGTGATGATGACACTAAACAGGTGTAGCCAAAGGGAGTCCATCCCACCTGATTTGGATCCCCAGGTGGCCCAGGTGCTGCAGCTGCTCTGGTCCGTCCTGTAGCTCGGGCAGGTGCGCCTGGTTTCCCCCCCACTGTGATCACACATTTCACCTGCTTCTCTATCCCCTTCAGCAGGGTGTTCCCTGTTCCCTCCGTGAAGAACTTGTGCATTCCTGAAGTAAAACATGGGGTACATTTTGGGAGACTGGTTGGGTGAGTGTGTGTGTGTGTGTGGATGGATGGACTAATGGAGACATTTTCTCTTCATATTGGGAAAAAAGGCCTCGTCAATGAGTAAACATTGAAAACACATTTAATGTAAAACATATCTCAAATGCTTACACAATTTTGCATTACATTATCTGTAGCACCCATAGACTTCAAGTTAATTTTGTCTGCTGCATGATGCATTGTACGTGTATCCTTGGAAATTAGGAATAGCACTGGCACATTTTCACAAGCTTTTCTAGAAACCAAGTAAGAGAGAAATGGAAAAAATGCATTAGATGATACAAAATAAAAAAAAATAGATCTGACCTGGCTTTGTGATGTTCATGGTGTCTGTTGTAACATCATCTATGAGAGCCTGCAGTTCCTTCCTAGCACTCTGTGTTCCATCCTTAGTTCCCCTCACAGTAAGTTTGCCCCGGTTTATCGTGATCTGTACCAGTTGTTCTGCATGCTTTTTCTCAACGTCTTTGACATCCGCATTGCGGTAACAGTTCAGGAACTTTGACGTTCCCTCTGCAACATCCATATTGATTGTAACAATAGTGTTTTTGGCAATGTAACTCTTGATCTCCTTAGATGCAGTGGCAACCTTCTCTGCAGGTCCAACCACCCACACTTTGTCCTTTGCAACATGGATGTCAACTGACAGCCTTTGTCGCAGATCTGCTGAGAGTGATGCAAAACCTTGCTTACTCAGCAAATCACGACTTTCCTCTGCAACAGCCACAGGAGATTCTGAAACAACTTGCTGCAGCAAGTCCTTTGCTGCTTTTACTTCTGAATCCTGCAGAGCTAAAATAGTCATTTCTTCATCCTTTGTAGCAAAGGCTGCCTTTATGTCATTCTTCTTCAAACTGTCTTCTAGGTGCTTCCTTCCCCTGTCTGACTTCAAGTAGGACAGTTTTCCACGTGGCAGAGAGACCCTTTCTTCAGCTAAGTTGTTGGCTGTTTCAAGCAAGTCAATCTTGGCATTTTGTACCAAAGCTTGCTGACCCTTGAAGCCTACACTCCGCTTGTCTATGTCAAACTTGATCTCCACATCTGGATGCTTTTCTTGAAGGTTGTTGAGTTTGAGAATCTTTAGCTTGGCTGCTTTCATGTTGGTGATGTTATCGGTAACAATGGTGGCTTCTAACTTCAGTTGCTTCTCTGTCTCTTCGATGAAGGTCTTGCAGACAAGCTCTGCCTCTGTGACAGCTTCTGATGTTCCAATCAGAGTAACCACTCCTCCTCCATCTTCTTCATCAGAACACTGGACCCAAAGATCATCCCCCTTTGATGCAACATTACTCACCTTTTCAGACACTTTTTCAAATCTATCCTTGGTACGTTGCCAAATGTTAGATGCCACATGGATCTCCATTGCCTGAAACTGTGTGAAAAATTCTTCCACAGAACTGCGACTCTTGTCTTCCCAGTGCCTTGTTAGCTTCCTAACATCTTTCATCTTGGGCTTCAATGTTGGTGAGATTTTTACTTCCTCTGTTACTGTCTTATCCACTTCTGCATGGACTTCTTTTAACTTGCTTTCAAGCTGCTCGACAAACTTTGGCATGGCAAAGGCAAACAGAATCAACTCAGGCTTGATCTTTATGTTGATGGGTTGAGGCATTTTGAATGCTCCTGGGGCATCGTCATCCACCACTTCAGCAAGGCATTCATAGTAAGGTTTGACACTTACTGGTTTGTTGTTTAGAAAGTGTGGGGACTTCTGATGAACCCTGTTTACAGCTGTAAGAAAAGCAAAGGTAGTGAGTGAGTCTGACTGCTTCAACATCACTAAATGCTTAGTAATCCGTGGGTAATTACTGGAAAACATGAAGCAATTAAACAGAAATCATAGTTTTCAGATGATTCAGCTTGGATTTGGTAAAACTATGTCTGATACATAAACCTAAAAACAGTTAGTGTAGCCCTTCATTGACCACAAAATTGAATCATGTATCTGTTAGATTTAACTTTTCTTCATATAATACTATAGACTATCAATACTACATTCCCTCTTTTATTGAGTATATAAGACTTCAGGTAGCTAATAATCAGCGATTGATTTTGTGTACTACTGTTACAGTAGAGCTTTGAAGCCTATTAGTATTATATGTAATAAAACTATGTAAGTCATCGACTTTGTCTAACACTTACTGGCTATTGCCTACTAGAAGGAAAGAAAAGGCTGCATACTTTTTATATCATCAAACTGGACAACAGCAGTTCCAGTGGAGGAGTCCATCTTGATATCTGAGATAGGCCCTCCACCGCTCTTTGTTTCACTTTCAAAGTACAACTCCAGCAGGTCTCTGGACACAGTGTCTGGTAGGTCTGTTACGATGATGGCATCTGTGATGGGGACTCTTTCTAATGTAAGACGCTGTCCCTCCAGGGGCCTGGACTGTGCCTTGGCTACCATCCTGTCAAAGTCTTAAAGATGAAATGATTAAAATAAGTTTGTTTTTTTTCACAAAATTATATTTACTGCAATGTATTATGTATCAATAGCCCTGCAGAATACTGGTAGTAAAAGCTATGATTTGTTCCCATGTAAAAGCTATGTTTGTTCCAATGATGATAACTTGTTCTTGAAATTACCAGTAGTACAAAAATTATCTATAACTGGCTGGTTGACGCTTTTTACTTTGTTTCACAGACTGTGATCAAACTAGTCATTCCACAAATTGCAAGAAAACATTAAGAATACTGTGCTGTGACACAATGACAAACAAATGTATATTATAAACTTGCTGGAAATCTTGTTGAATGTGACCAGGGCAACTCCAGGCTGTGTGCTGTAGTCTACTGTGATCACATCATCATCACTGATGTTTTCTAGGTAGAGGCTAAGCGTCTCTTTGGTTGTGCTTTCCTTGAATCCCTGTATTAGGTGCACAGAAAGAAGTAATCATCATAGCCCCTGAAAAACATTTCTTTCCAAATGTACCGCAACCTGTTTTTTTTGTGACTAGCAGTTATCATGCAGGTAACATCACCATGTCATGGTAGACCAATGCAATTTTGGATGGAGTGTGTCAAGAAGGACATCCAAGTGTAATTGGGCTGAAAATGCAGTGTAAAAACCAGGCAACTGCTGCCCACCCAAGTCAGGGCCCCTTACGGCAGAATAATTTAATTCTGGGTACTACTATATAATGCAGCGAAACTCACACTGCAATGTACAGAGCAACAAGGCAGAAACCACTGCTGTACCTTGACCAGAAGACGGGTGTTGTCCAGTGATCTGGGCTGGACCTCCTTCAGTTTGAGAACGGTTTCATCAAGACGATGGTCTCGACTCAGAACATGCCTAGCAACTGTGAATACATAAAGCAAAAGGAGACGTGTACATTATGTAGGAAATGAATGTAACATCATATTACCTTACATACACACATTTAAGTTGTGAGTGTGACATACTTTCTAAGTTCATGTATGATTATCGTAATGTAAGAATACTTGTGAACATCAATCTTACCTTACCCAGAATTTTATTTCAGTCAATATGAAAAAATACTTGCCTTAAAAGTTGATTGTGTACTGCCAGTGACCTTATACAGAGACCACTTCCTTTTATTTCTGAAACATTTCTAAACACTGACAGTTATATTCCTATTCTGTAAGAAAATGACAGTTTCCTACCTGTGGGATCCTTGAAGACAATGAAGACTTTATTGTCTTTGACTTCGAACTCCTGGATGTCTTCTCCCCCAGACCTTTTCTTGTTCTCAAAGTACAGCCTCAACATTTCTTCATTTGGGCTGGACAGAAAGCCTGAAACTTGGATGGTGATGGTTGAAGGAGTCTCATGGATGTCAGGAGTGGTTTTGCCTTCCTTTCTGTTTCTCTCATTGGAAGAATGGTGGTCAGTTTTGGCTGCAGCACCCAATGGCCTTGTAGTCTCTTTTCTTCCCCATGATGCAGGGTTGGGTGATGATGATGCACGAATAAAACTCTCCCCATCTGAGACTACAGATCCAACACAGCTGACAGAATCCAAAGCATCTTCGAAGTTTGACTCCTCATCACTCAGTTCTGTAGGGGTCTGTCTGGAATGCACAGATGATTCCTGGTCAGAGTGGTACCCATGGCTTCTGTTCTGTTGCTGGAAGGGAAGGCTTACTGGTGAGCCAGTTCTTGGGGATGCCCAGCGAGCTGATTCTGAGGATGATGGCTGGTGATAGGAATGCAGAAGTTCTGACTGTGGAGATGACCTTGCTCCAGTAGGAGGAACGTTGCCTGTTGGCTGCCCAGGAGGTCTTGAATGGGACACTTGCGGAAAAAAAGAAGACTGGGGGCCTGATGCAGGATGACCTTGAAATGGAACACCAGATGGAGGAATGCCACCTCTACCGGTCCCAGGAACACCATGTCCGGTGTCTCCATATGGCAGGTAAGGCATGTACGGAGGGCGAAAGCCAAAAGAGCCTGAAAACTGGGGCTGGTACATTGGTTGTCTAGGATACATCATTCCCCATTGTGGATGGGGATGCCAATAGGGATACCATGGCTGTTGTGGTTGTCCAGGTCCCATAGATGTATTGAGTGTTGGGTGTTGAGGGGAAGGGTGTGTAGTTTCAGTGGGTACTGAAAACCCGGTGGTTGGGTATGGCTGGTGTGGGCTTTCCATTGGTGCATTTGGTATGTTTGTCTGTTGAGAAGAAGTTACAGTTGCCTCACTGGAGGTGGATTGCTGCATTGAGTAAGCCTGTTGTGGTTGTCCTCCCATAGATGTATTGGGCAGGTTTGGGTGTTGAGGGGAAGAGGATGTAGTTTCATTGGGTACTGAAAACCCGGTGGTTGGTTTCGGGTGAGGCTGGTTTAGCAGACCTTCCATTGGTGCATTTGGTTTATTGGAATGTTGAGAAGAAGTTACAGTTGCCTCACTGGTTACTGAGGATATGCAGTGTGGTATTGGATGTAACTGTTGTTGTAGTTGGTCTTTGATAGATGTATTTGGAATGTTTGGGTGTTGAGGGAAGCTTGGTGTGGGCTGCTGCAGCTGCTCCTGACTTCCCATTGGTGCACTTGTCAAGTTTGAATGTTGAGGGGAGGTTGCTGCTGTCATCAAGGGTACTGAAGTTCTGGTGGTTGGTTTGGGTGGAGGTTTTGGTGGCACAGTTGGCTTGGGTGGTGTGGGAGGGATCTTTGGTGGAGCTGCAAAGGCATCGCTTTCGTCATTTCTGGTCCCATGGGAGACTTGGGCAGGCCAACTTCTGGGTGTTTGAGACTCTTCAGGTGTTTCATCATCATCAGACGGGGGAAGTTCTACAGCTGAGCAGTCTAAGGCTAGGTTTATTTTGCTCAATTTTGAGTCTGCATTTACTTGATGCAGGAGTGACCTGTCGGCTACAACAGCTTCACTTTCGTCATCTCTGGTCCCATGGGAGACTTGGACAGGCAGACATTTGGGTGTTGGAGACTCTTGAGGTGTTTCATCATCATCAGATGGGGGAAGTTCTATAGCTGAGCAGTCTAAGGCTAGGTTTCTTTTGCTCAATTTTGAGTCTGCATTTACTTGATGCAGCAGTGACCTGTCGGCTACAACAGCTTCGCTTCCGTCATCTCCGGTCCCATGTGAATCTTGGACAGGCAGACATTTGGGAGATGGAGACTCTTCAGGTGATTCATCATCATCAGATGGGGGAAGTTCTACAGCTGAGCAGTCTAAGGCTTGGTTTGTTCTGCTCAGTTCTGATGGTGAATCCTCTTGCGAAGTTGCAGCTGAAATTGGAAGACGTTATTTTTCGTGTATCAAATCCGACTAAAGTGTCTAATATGAGCTGAGAATTCAAAAGAATTGTTGTTACTCTTATCCTATATTCAGTTACTAGTAACTTTTCACACACTCAAGGAGCCATTTGGTCACCAATTCTCTATTGGTAATGAGGTTAGGCAGCAGGAAGCACTTTGTACCTACCAGTATTTTACTCTATTGACTGAAAAAAGCAGATTTGAATCACCTGACCCAATGACATTTCTGGAAAAAGACAGGAAAAAAAGAGGTACTGCAGACAAGTCTTATCTTTCTACTTGAAGTGTGGCTTACCTTTCAAACTGTCTAAGTAATTGTGCAAGTAATTGTCATGGGTATTATACTA